GATTGCAGTGGAGGCCCTTTGTGGGGCTGTCAAACCCCAGGATGAGGCTCCCGGAGATGGACCAGATCCATGGGGACAGAGGGGAGCAGCGGTGGCGGGTCCGGCTCCTGTCTCTGAGAGGCCATGCCATTCCAGGGGCACTATCCATTTCTTCCTGAAGGTCTTGAGGGGGAAAGGACATCCCAGACCTGATGGCCGCCCTGCTGTTCCTCTGAGCACCCTAGAAAGGGATAGGTTTGTCTAGCTGGCTTGGAGGGATCCCCCCTCACAGCCCCCTGCTGAAAACCCGTCCTGTGCACACAGGGGTTTCTGAAGTGCCCCCTCACAAGGCCCACTCCCACATGCCGTGACGTGGCTCAGAGCCAAACCAAACCTGAGAACGCGCTAGGGGCCCCAGGTGCCGAATGTCCGGTGGTTTGACCTTCCCAGGCCTCAGTTTCTTCACTTGTGAAATGGGGCCGCAGAAGGGCTTTGAGGATCCTGTGGGGTGACACGGGCCCGTTGCTGAGCTCACAACAGGAGCTTGGCAAATCCATGCTGAATGATCGAATGAATGAATGAATGAATGAACTGTCCCACGCAAGTCAAGCCTGCAGGACTCCAGGCCAGTCACGTTGTCTGTCCAAGCCTGCTTTCTCCCCCCAGGATACGGGGATAGCGTGGACACAGCTGGGCACAAGCGCTTGTCACTCCCCGTGCAGGGCGCTGTCCCCAGCACGTTGTGCCCAGCTTGCTCTTGACCCATGGGGACGGGGACTGGGGTTCCATAGGTCTCGTATCATGTCATTTCGGTTGTCATTTGTGTACTCTGTGTTGGGTGTTTGGTGGGGAGGGAGGCGCGGGGCCCCTGGGCCCCTGCCCCCCTCCCCGGGAGCTCACCCGAGAGGGACACTGTGTCTGTTGGAGGATGTACCACAGTCAAAGTCGTGCCTCGGCAGAGCCCCTGAAGCAGATGGCCTTGGGGGGGACAACTTCAGGGGGAGGTGGCACTGGAGGGGTGGGGTGTGGAGGGGTGAGTTCCAGCCAGTGGGTTCAGCAGTCCTGGAGGGGGGGTGGGAGGAGTGGGGAGGAATCCCAGGGTGTCACCCCCAGGGCAGTAGGGCCACAGCAGCACCTAGAGCAGGAGAGAGGCCTGGCCTGGGTGTTGGACAGAGGCCGGGCTGGGGCCAAGGGGCCGAGGGGAGGCTGGAACGGTGGCCTGGGCACACCTGGCCTTCGCCTCCTTATCACCTGGAAACAACCCAGAAACAACCCTGTCTTCTAAAGGCACAGCTTTGCATCTTCTAAAGGACCATTTGGGGGCCCCAGCCTGACAGCCAGGAACAGCTCCTGCGGTCCCCCGGCCACCTCCTGCACCCTCGCCGTTTCCCCGTCTGCAATACATGAGGGACGCTGGTTTCTCAATGATGTGTGGCTTGGCTGAGGTCGCCCAGCAAAAGCTGGGGGGTGGGGGGCAGAGCAAGGCCTGGGGCTCAGCTATCTAATGTGTGTCCACCCCAAAGGCACAGACGTTCCCCCAGAGCCCTGGCCCATGGGACCACTGCTGGCTGGGTCCTAGAGGACCCTGGGGGCACCAGCAGGGGGTCGGGCCTCCGCCTCTGACTCTCTCCTCTCCCTTTGTGACCTGCCCATCTGTAAAATGAGAACGTTCCCATCTCGTAGAGTCGTAGAGTCGTTTGGAGATTAAATGAGTCAGTGGATGTAGGCATCCCTCCAGCATGAGAAACTGTCTCCCCCCACCCCAAACTCTTACTCATACTTCAAAACCCATTGCGGATTTTCCATCTTCAGGGAAGCCCCAGGATAGCTTTTGGCTCTTCACTGTTCTATGCTCCAGGGTCTCCCAGGCCTGGATCCCCACCCTCAGGTCCGGGAGCGGCTGTATCTGCCTCTGCCTCCCCTCTGGGGGCCTCCCTGGGGTGGCAAGATCACTCAGCGTGGGGCACACCGGGGAATGTTGCTGAATAAATGGAGGGAGGAAAGGAGGGGGCAGGGAAGGGACGATGGGGAGCCAGGGAAGGTGGAGGAGGGAGGGAGGACACTAGGCAGAGACCTCTCGGTGGGACAGATGGAGAGAGGGAGCCGGAAGGAGGTGGGCAGAGCCAGATGGGCGGGCAGGGGCGACAGGAGGGGTGGGTGTGGGGAGACCCAGCTCCCCCCCAGCTCCCCCCAGCTCCCCTCCCCCCGGCACGCCTCCTCCCCTCCCGGCTCGGGCGGGCTCCGCCGGCAGGGCCCGGCCTCTGGCGGGCGGGCGGATCGGCAGCAGCGCCCGCCTGCCTGGGCGTCGGGCGCGGGGAGCGAGGCGCGGGCCGGTGCGCGTGCGGCGGGTGCGCGCCTGTGCGCCCGGGGCGGCCGGGCGGGCGGCGGCACGTGGAGGCCAGCCTGGCGCGCGGCTCGGGGCCGGTGGGTAAGGCGGGCCGCGGGTGCGGATGGCCAGGCCTCGGCGCCTCGGCTCCGGAGCGGGGGACGGGGAGGAGCGGCCCCGCAGCCTGGCTCCTCGGGCCCAGACGGGGACCCCTGCCCCGAGAGCCCCGCATTCCCGGGAGGGGGGAAGGGGGCCTCCCAGGGGACGCGGAGGGTCCCAGGCCCCGCAGCGGCGCGCGGGGGAGACGGGGCGCAGGTACCCAGGCCGCGAGAAGGGGGGGCGGGGGTGGAGGGTGCCGTGATGGGGACCAGGTTCCCTCCCCGTGGCCCCCCTCCCTCGCTCCCTCCTTCAGCTCATCCATCTCCAGAAGATTATATTTAAATATCTCTTTTGTGCAAGGCAGGAGCTGGGCTCGCCCCTAAGAGGCGGTTTCCATGGCAACAACAATTGCCAGCTTCCGTGTGGTGAATCAGCGTTGCCATGGCAACCCCATCCTCATCTGCCCAAGGTGCTGGGAGGAGGGAGGAGGTGAGGGCCAGCGGAGGCGGGGTGGGAGGGGTGGAGGCGAACGGGAGGCTGGGCTCAGGTGCCCCCACTCCCCCCCCACGTCTCTTCACAACCACAGCCTCCCCGCCGCACCCCCAGCCCAGAAACTGGTCCCATCTGGTTAAAATAACCTTCCCTCCTGCCTCCAGCTAGCTGGGTGTGGTACCCAGGTGGAGAGGGCCCCGTGTGTGTGTGTGTGTGTGTGTGTGTGTGTGTGTGTGTGTGTGTGTGTGTGTGTGGCAGTGCGTGATGGGGGAAGGGAGACGTGGTTTGGCCTTTCCCAGGTGGTCAGGGTCCCTCTAGGGATGCGGCTGGGTGGCAGGAATTGGGGACACTGGAAGGCCTCTCTGCTTCCGGGGCTCCCGAGGCTGAGTTCAAATTGAGGCAGCCCATATGAGCCTGGGAACAAACAGTCAGAATGGGGGGGGCTCCTGGAAAAGAGGGTGCAGAAGGAGGGAGGGGGCTTGGATGGTGTGGGGTTGCTCAGAGCTGAGATAAGGTCTAAGACAAGGGGAGGAAGATTTAGGGAGAGGGGTCTCTACTCATGGGAGCGGGTCGAAAGGTCCTGACATGTGAAGTCTGCGAAGGCTTAGTGCCTCGACTCCCCCACCGTGACCTTGGGCACATCGTCTGGGCCTTGGTGTCACCATGTGTAAAGCCCGGTGAAAACCATGCCTCTCCCTGGAGCTTGCTGGGGACCTGCGCCGTGACTAAGAAGCTGACATCTGTCAAGCACCTGCTCTGCCTGGCCAGGGGGACGGTCTGACCTGGGAGGGGGTCCGGGCCTGGCGCTCATTCCAACCCCGGGCCGGGCCCAGTGGCACCAAGCGGCCCTCCTATGCTGCTGGGCATGAGCCACTTCCTTCTGGTCAATTCGGTTCAGCAAGTTTCTCGGATTCTCCCTGCGTGGTGTGGGGAGAGCTGCCTGCTGTGAGAAACCAAGACATAGACTCTTCCTGCCCTGAGGCAGAGGGAGGAAGGGACCCAGAAGGGTGGAAGGAAGGTGCCTGCATGGGGGCTTTGGAGGTGGGTTTTGAAGGATGAATAGGAGTTCACCAGGAGCCACCAGGCATGGAGGATTCTATTCTCAGACCAGTGGAGAAGCAAATGCCACCCACTTCCCACCTCCCTTGAGTTCATTCTCAAATATCCACATTAGCTCACACCATGGCTGGGTAAGTTTGGGGGAGGGGGGTTAGAGGAGGATTTCTGTCATTAGATGTCATTTCCAAAAAACAACAAAACCCTGTCATTTTCAGTGCTGGGGGTTGAGGATAGAAGTGTCCAGAACAATGAGTCCAGATTGAAAGCTGGTCCACTCAGGTATGACAGTCCTCCCGCCCAGGGCTCAGAGAGCAGAGAGTAGCTGCCTTGGTGTCACCCCAACCATTTTATCTGTGTGTGATTCCCTGGGTTAGGAAGCTCAGACCGGGCTCAGCCGGGTGGCTCTTCTGCGGGTCTCTCCCAGGGTCATTCCTGCAGGGGTAGGCAGGGCTGGCCCTGATGAGCTGGGACAGGCCAGCCTCACCCCTCCGCGTGTGGTCTGTCGGTGGGGCCTCTCAGTACATGAGCTCTGTCCTCCCGCCTTGCCTGGGCTCATCACCTGACCACGTCAGGGTCCCCAAAACGGAAGTCTCTGGAGGCCAGAGCTTGGAACCACTGTCCTTCCACCACATTCCACTGGCCAGAGCAAGTCACACCAAGGCGCAGATGCAGAAGGGTGGGGAAATAGACTCCAGTTTTTGACGAGAGAAACTGCAAAGTCACATCACATCCGGGGACTAGTGGGGTCGGGCATCTTTGCAAGAGCCTCTACTGCCCTTGGGCAGGCAAGGAGGCCTCTTCCTACAGCAAGAAATGGCGTTACTGGGTTTTGAAGGTAAAGAGTTTTGCAGAGGGCAGTGAGCGAAGCCCTGTCAGTGGGACCACGTGTCACTTGTCTGACTGGTTTGCTGCTGCAAGTGTGGTGGGATGCTGAGCCTTGGGGCGGTGGGCAGGGTGCCTGCCAGAGCTCAGGTGAAGCCCGCACCCATGGTGCCCCCCACCCCCACCGCCAGCTTTGACGTCCTCCTCCCCTCTCACTCCACAGATGGCGCGGCCGATCCAGGTGAAGCCGGCGGACAGCGAAAGCCGCGGAGGTAGTTGTCATCTCTCCATGGCCACCAGGCTGGGTGTCGCAGGGGTGGCAGGAGAATGGGTGGGGGAAGGAAAGGAATCCCCTATCAGAAGGACGTAGCAGTCACCTGTCTGCTCACACCTCTCATGGTGGTGGCAAAGGGGCAGGGGAGCAGGGGAGCTGTGTCCCCTCTTCCAAATCACAGTGCCACAGGCCAGGAGTGGGGGTGGGGGGGGTCTGGCTAGGTCCAGCTGCTTGGCCCTAGAGCTTGAAATGCACCACTCCCCCTAGGATGCAATGTTGGGGGGGGGTCTTCTGACGCAGAGGGGATTGCTTTCAGCACCCACGTTTGTGCGTGTGTGAGCATACGTTCCTTGGCACGCCTGTGTACAGATGTGCGTGAGCACACGCACATGTGCATGTGTGTTTCCGGGGCTTACACCCTGGGGATGCCTGCCTGGCCTGTGCGTGAAGGCATGGGCGTGTGGATGTGTGTGTGTGCGAGCGTGTGTGCTTGACTGTAGTTCCAGGCTGGGCGTGTGGGTATGCAGGCTGGAGGCCTGGCGTCTGCATAGGTCTGGACCGTGTTGGGGACGTGACCATGGGGGAGGGGATGCTCGGCTGTCCCCCAGGCTAGTCATTCTTGGAGATTTTCCTACCTCCTCCCCATTTCTGGTGGACTGGGGTCTGGGAGGTGGCGTGTGGGGCAGCGCTGTTGGGACGTGTGTGTGTGTGTGTGTGTGTGTGTGTGTGTGTGTGTGTGTGTGTGTGTGGGACCCGGTACGGCCCATCTGGGATGGGACCTTGTTCACGCTCTCCCACCAGCTGCTAGTGTAGGTCACGGATTAGAGGCGGGTGGTCTGCAGGCTCCATCTCTAAGGCTTCTCTGTCTCTATAATGCTCCCTCCTCTCCTCCCCCTGTCTCTCCTGTCTCTCCTGTCTCTCTCTCTCTGTCTCACCTTCTCTCTCTCCCTCTCCCTCCATCCCTCTTTCTCTTATCTTTTTCTCTCCTTTCTCTCTGGTCCTCTCTGTGCTCCTCTTTATGTGTCTCTCTGTCTCTTACTGTCTCTCTTTGCCTTCTCTGTCTCTGCTTCTCTCTGTCTCTCCTCTCTCCCCTGTCTCTTTCCCTCACTCTCTGTTTCTCTGCTTCTGTGTCCTTCCCTTCCATCCCCGTGAGTGACAGCTGCCAGAGAACCCGTTTCCATAGTGACCCAGCGCAGCATCCCTGGGAGCTGCCGCTGCCCTGTGCCGGATTACAGGGGAGGGAGCGGGACTCTGGTGCCCCTTGCCGGAGAGGCTGGCCCAGCTGGGCCTCCAGCCAGAGCCCCCCACCCCAGCGCCACCAGATGGGGGCTCAGGCCTCGCGGGCACCTGGTCCTGTGCGCACACATGCCCTCACCCACTCAGCAGACAGGTGCCTGGCTCCTCTCGAGCGCTCACCCCGACTGGGAAATCTAGATGGCAGACAGACAGCCAGACAGACCGCCAGGCAGCCAGCCATGCAGTTCGTAGCTAGAACCATGCGTGCGTTCTCGGAGGGCGAGGAGAGAGGCACCTCGGCCCGGAGGGTGGGAGCAGGGACGCGGAGGCCCCAAGACCGAAGGCAGGACGTTCCCGGAGGTGGGCACTGCGCGAGCAAGCGCTTGGAGGGGAGCCGCGCGCGGCACGTGGGAGGATGGAGAGCGCGGGGCCGCGCGGCGGGTCCTCCCCACGCAGGCAGGGCAGGGGCCGGCGGTGCTCCCCCCGCGCCCGGCTGCCGCGGCTCCGTTGGAGGGACCGAGAAATTCCCGGGGACCAGGACTCGGCTGAGGGGGTGTCTCCGCCCACAGGAGACCGGAAGCTGTTCGTGGGGATGCTGAACAAGCAGCAGTCAGAGGAGGACGTGCTGCGGCTCTTCCAGCCCTTCGGGGTCATCGACGAGTGCACCGTGCTGCGCGGGCCTGACGGCAGCAGCAAAGGTGACCGGCCGGGGCGGGGCTGGCGGGGAGGGGGGCGGGGGGCGGAGCTGGGCGTCTGGGGGATGGGCCCAGGCTGGACGAGGGGGTGGGGCTGGCACGGGGGGCGGGGCTGGCTCCTGGGGGCGGGGCTGGCACGTGAGAGGGCGGCAGGCTGGCACGTGAGAGGGCGGGGCGGGCACGTGAGAGGGCGGGGCTGGCTCCTGGAGGGGGTGCGGGTGGGCACGTGAGAGGGCGGGGCTGGCTCCTGGAGGGGGGTGGCCACGTGAGAGGGCGGGGCTGGCACGTGAGAGGGCGGGGCTGCCTGAGGGGCGGGGCGGGCACGTGAGAGGGCGTGGCTGGCTCCTGGAGGGGCGGGGCGGGCACGTGAGAAGGCGGGGCTCCGGCTCCTGGAGGGGTGGGTGGGCACGTGAGAGGGCGGGACGGGCACGTGAGATCAGGGCGGGGCTGGCTCCTGGAGGGGCGGGGCGGGCACGTGAGAGGGCGGGGCTGGCTCCTGGAGGGGGGGGGGGTGGGCACGTGAGAGGGCGGGGGGGGGCTCCTGGGGGCGGGGCTGGCACGTGAGAGGGCGGGATGGGCACGTGAGAGGGCGGGGCTGGCTCCTGGGGGCGGGCACGTGAGGGGGTGGGGTAGACCCCCGGGGGCGGGGCCGCTGCTTGAGAAGGCAGGACTGTCTCCAGGGGGCGGGGCCAGGGCCAGGGGAGGAGGGCGGGGTTGACTCCTGGGGGTGGGGCCACGCACTTCAGAAGGCGGGACTGGCTTCAGGGGCGGGGACAGACATTCGAGGGGGCGGGGCTAGCTCCTGGGGGCGGGGCCGGGCCGTGAGGGGGCGGGGTTACCCTGGGGGCGGGGCGGACTGGGCAGAGACAGCCTGGTCCCACCTGCTCCACTGCCACCTGCTCCCACCTGGTCCCACCTGCATACCCAGTCTGTGGCGTCGTCTGTACCTCCCTGACCCTGTGGGACAGTTTCCCGTGGACCCTCTGCCTTATCCTGGCTGATCGTGTAGGAAAGACTTGAGCTGCTTCCCTGTCCACCTACGTCTCGGTCTCTTTTTCTCCCTGAGTGTCTAAATGACTCTTTCGGTGTGGGTCTTCATGTGTCTGGTGGTCTTTGCTACCTTTTTGGGTTCATCTGTCAGGCACCAACTCTCGCCCTACCTGTGCTACTTTTTATCGTCTAGGATTGAATGAATCCCATGGTCCTTATTTGCTTGGCTCTCTGTTTTTAAAAATTATCTTCATTTTTAAATTTTTTAAGTGTTTTTCAAAGTTTATTTATCATCTCTACACCCGGTGTGGGGCTCAAACTCATGACCCTGAGATCAAGAGTCACAGGCTCAGGCAGCCCTGGTGGCTCAGCGGTTTAGCACCACCTTCAGTCCAGGGTGTGATCCTGGAGACCCAAGTCCCACGCCTGGCTCCCTACATGGCCTGCTTCTCCCTCTGCCTGTGCCTCTGCCTCTCTCTTCGCTCTCTCTGAATGAATAAATAAATAAATCTTTAAAAAAGAAATCACAGACTCTACCCATGGAGCCAGCCCGGCGCCCTTCTTTTTTTTAATTGTTATTTACGTACTGTAAAATTCACCTTTTCCAAGTGTACAGAGAAATGCTTTTCAGTATATTCCAAAAAATGTGCAACCATTGCCACTCTCTAGTTCCATTTGTCCTACCCCACCCCTCCTGCCTGGCTCTTCCGTAGTACTCTGCCTGTCTGGAACTATGTCTAGTAGTCTCTCCTTATGATTGTGTGTCTGAATTTGCCTGTGTCTGGTGGTCCCTGGCCGTCTGTCTGCCTGATTTCTGATTTCTTCCTGTGTGACTGGTCATTTGGGTCTGACCTGTTTGCTTTTGTTTTGTTTTGTTTTGTTTTGTTATTTGTTTGTTTTTTTTTGTCCCGGTCTCTCTGACTCTGGTCACACGGGCATATCTGTCCAGGTGTGAATGTATCCATGCCTGAGTGTGCCCACAGGACTGTATCTCTGCACCTGTGTCTCAACATTTGTCACCTTCTCTCTGCGTATCTGATTACAACTCTGGATCTCGTGGCGTCCAGTGGCTGATGGGTGTTCTTAAGCCTGTGCCCTTCACTCATTCTGGTGGGCAGGACCTGCCTCCCCGACTGCGCACCGCCTCACTGTGTCTGTCCGACGGTGTGTGTGACAACTAGCTGTGTAGCTGGCTGGTTTCTGAGTGAACGGACGGCCGACTGGCCGATGTTGTGTTCTGCGGCTGGCTGCATGCTTGTCTTATTGCCTGATCCTTTACTGTCCGATGTCTGTCTCAACAAATGACTGTTGTCTCTCTGTTCTGACTGTCTGACCTGGCTGCCTATGTCTGACACTGACCAGCCATCCAGGGCTCCCTGTCCCCTCCCCAGTGGCCCCTGCCCACCCGGAAAGGCCCTGTTGCCCCTCACACATTCTCCTTCTCTTGGGGCAGGCTGTGCCTTTGTGAAGTTCTCCTCGCACACCGAGGCCCAGGCGGCCATCCATGCCCTGCATGGCAGCCAGACCATGCCGGTGAGTAGGAACTGCCCTGGGTCGTGGTGGTGGGCATGGGGACGGGGCCAGGGAAAAGGGACAAAGCCTCTCCCTACCGTTCCAGCCACCCTGTAGCCTCTGGCTATTCATCAGTAAGGCACAGGTGGAGAAAGAGGTGCAGTCTCTCACGGTGGTGTGGGTGGGCGTACGCATGCGAGTGTGCGATCGTGCATGTGTGCTGTGAATCAGTGTTTGTGTGAGCATGCAAGTAATTCTGTAGGGGTGTGCATGGATGTACTGCCGGTGTGTGGCTGCATGTGTGGTTATGTGTGGACTAGCATGTGTGTGTCTATGTCTGTGTGTGTATTTAAGAGAGAAATGTATGTGAGTGCATGTGTGTGTGGTTGTTAGTAGGTGATTGTTAATGTGTAGTATGAGGTGTGTATGTGAATATGTATGGATAGGCGTGTGTGCTAGTGTACGTGTTTCTGTGTATGAGTGCATGTGTGTAAGTGTGTTGAATGAGTGTGCTTGTGTAAGTGGGTTTTGCAGTATGTATGTAGGTGTGTGCACATGTGTGTTTATACATGTGTGTACTGAGTGCATGTGTATGTGTGGGTCTGCCTGGACGATGGGGGGAATGAGTGCATTGTGCATCTGTAGGTATATGTGAGGGCAAGTGTTTGTGGATGGGTGAGCACTTGTGTGTGAATATGTGTGTATGTGATTGCATGTGTGATTGTGTGCATCTGAATGTATTGTGTGAATGCATGTGTGCAACCATGTGTGATATGCATGGTGAGTGTAAATATGTGCACATATTTGTGTGTGTTCATTATGTGAGTGTGTAAGTTTGTGTGTGTGGTGTGCGTGCAAATGGACATGAGCATGCACAGGGAGTATGCATGTGTATGTGAGTGTGAGCATGCGTAATGTGTGTACGTGTGAGTGTATGAACATGTATGGTGTGTGTGTGGCACATGTGGTGTGTGTATTTATGTCTTCAGCTGCATGAGTCTGTGAGCATGCATGGGAAGTATGTGTGTGACTGTATGACCATGTGTGTGCATAAGTGTCCACGTGTGTGGTGAATGTGTATGAGTGTGTGTGTGAGCGTACAAGAGAGCGTCCTAGAGAGGCAAGACCCAAGGCCAGCAAGGGGATGTGGAGCGTGGGGAACGACAACAAGGATGGGAGTGGGAGTGGGTGGCCCCAGAGGAGTGGGGGACATGGCTGGAGGGGCTGCAGTCCACGGCCTGGGAGCACGGGGCTCCTAGGGTGATGAGGGGCCACGGAAGGTTTGGGCAGGGGAGGGAGGGGTGGGGCCAGGCCGGTTGGAAGTGTCCCCTGGGCCAGAGCGGGGATGGGCGGGGGGCAGACCTGGGGCGGTGAGAGGCTGGGGACGACCAGCCAGGGACTGAGAGCGGCCCTGCCCTCTAGCAGGCGATGCCAGGAGCCACCGTCCCTGTACATAAATGTCCAAATTTGCCACAGGCCTTAGAGAACCAGTTCCCCTCTCAGCTGTTCTCAAAAATGGGTGTGAGGAGCGGGGCAGCGGGAGAGCGCCGTCGCCCTCTGGGCATCGGGCATCGCTTGCAGTCCTCGGAGGGGCAGGTTCAGCTCAACAGGAGGTCAGGCTTTCTCCTGCACGGCGCGGACCGGCGGGTGCGTCAGGGAGTGAGCTCTCCATCAAAGGGGGCATGCCCCCTCTCTGACGGTTGGGGTCTCTCCTGTCCTCAGGGGTGAGCGATGGTCATAGGGGCCTCCTCCACTTGGGTCCCCATCGCTCCTCCCGAGCAGTTGGATTCTCAGTTTTTGAGGGTGTGGCCGATAGTCAGGGTCCCCTCCATGCCCCAGACACAGCCCCACCCGCGCACACAGGCGGCTGCACCGTCAAGCCGCAAGGCCCGGGATGCTGACCTCTGAGCTGTTCTCGCTGGGACACGCGTGTCCTGCAGCTCCAGGCCCGTGGGCAGGACTGGCAGCTGCTGGCATCACCGCTCACCCAAGGGCCGGAGCTGACGTGGTCCCGGGAACCCCGGAGTCCTGGCTACCTCCCTCCTTTCCCTCGTGCTTGCCGCTGTAGGGTGCCTCCTCCAGCCTGGTGGTCAAGTTTGCCGACACGGACAAGGAGCGAACACTGCGGCGCATGCAGCAGATGGTGGGCCAGCTGGGCATCCTGACGCCATCCCTCACCCTGCCCTTCAGCCCCTACAGTGCCTACGCCCAGGCTGTGAGTGACCCCAGCAGATGCACTTCTGTCTCCAGCGGGGCCCCCGACACCACTCTGGGGGTCCGGCTCAGTCTGCTCGCGCGCGCTCTCTCTCCATCTCTGTTGGGGGTTCAGTGCCTCTGCTTGTCTTTCGGCCTCTCGCCCAGTCTCTCTGACTCACGGTCCTATCCTGGTCTTGGTTGACTCCCTAGATCCAGGCGGGTTCCTGAGCACCCCCACCCCAGCTCAGCTCCAGCTGAACCCCAACTCTGGACCAACATGACCCCATGCTTAGCCCCTAAATCTAGGCTGGGTCTCAAACCCCAAAGAAGCCTCTAAATCCAGGCTGACTCTAACTGGGACCAGCCAACCCTGGTTGAGTTTAATGTTGGCTGATCCATGGTCCCAGACCAAGTCCAAATTCCTGACTCAGCCCTCATCTCAAGGCTTGGCCCTGATCTGAAACTGATCCTTGATCCCAATTCCTAACTGAGCCCTGACCCCAGCCTGTGCCAAGATAGCCAGGCTGACCTCCCCCACCCTCCAGTTACTTGAGGGCCGGGGCCTCCCTCCCGCTGTGAGTCATGACCTCAGGGCAGGTGCCACCCCTTTTGTGCACGCTGACTCCCTTTCCACCCCCAGCTCATGCAGCAGCAGACAACGGTCCTGTCCACGTCGGGCAGCTACCTGAGCCCTGGCGTGGCCTTCTCACCCTGCCACATCCAGCAGATTGGCGCCGTCAGCCTTAACGGGCTGCCTGCCACGCCCATCGCCCCCGCCTCTGGTGAGAGTCCGCCAGGGGCCTAAGGATGGGTGGGCAGGGCAGGGCCAGGGCCAGGGCCAGGCTCAGGCTCCTCATGATGCTCCTCTGTCCTGCAGGACTGCACTCACCCCCGCTGCTTGGCACCACTGCCGTGCCCGGGCTCGTGGCTCCCATCACCAATGGCTTCGCAGGTGTTGTGCCCTTCCCTGGGGGGCACCCTGCCCTAGAGACCGTATATGCCAATGGCCTTGTGCCCTACCCAGGTAATTTGAATGGTCCTCTGGGACCTAGGAAAGGGGGTAGGACAGGGAGTTCCTGTGCCATAGTGGGACACAGAGGGACACAGGAAATCTCAGCTGACTAGACGTGAGCCGTGGGCATACAGAAAGAGGCTGTAGCAGGGCAGTTAAACATGAGAACTTTCTGTGCAGACATTTCTGAGTTCAAGTTCCAGTTCGGGGGCCCTGGGTGGTTTGTGTGAATCTCTGGGCCTCAGTTTCCACACCTGGGACATGGGGCAGATGACATCAGTCATCTCATGAGGTTGCATTGACAATGAAATTAGCACGTAAAGTGCTTAACACATCACCTGTACCAAGAACAGCAGGGTCAGTCTTCACTGTGAATCGTCCCTATTTAGGAAGACATATTCATACCCATACCCATACCCATATTCATACCCATACCCATATTCATTCACGTATGCATCCATTCAGTATTAGGCACCGAGTCAGGCTGGGCCCTGCCCTTGTGAAGCAGAGGCCCCACCTTTCCCTGCCCTACACCGCGATTCCCAGGCAAGCATCCTCCAACGCCGTGCTTCAGTGAAGTAAGCCATCCGCGTTTCCACCATTGAGGAGAATTTATTTTTATTTTGAAATGAGTGGAGCTCACTGGGACTTTCAAAAATAGTACAGAGAGGTCCTGGTCCCTTCAGCCCAGCCACCCCCCACCCATGCCAACATCTTACATAACCTGAGCACATGGTCGAAGCCGGGAAACACACTGGTACAGTCCAGTGAACTCAGCGAGAGCTGGTGACCTTATCCACACGGCACCACGTTCTGTGTGCACTCGTGTGGGTGGGTGGGCAGGGTGGGGGTCTGTGCCATTTCATCACAGGCATAGATTTGTGCAACCACCACCACCATAATCAAGACACAGAACTGCTCCATCTCCGCAGAGTGATCCGTTCATGTGACCCCTGCATGGTCACCCCCACCCCCACCGCATCCTCTAGCAACCACTCTCCATTTAGAATCTTTTGGCTAAATCCCCACCACCACCACCACCACCACGCACCAGCTCCAGTGGTCTGGACAACCTTCCCTCCCCTTACTCCCCCCCCCGCCCCGCCCCGGGAGCAGGTGGGAGGTCACAGCCCTGTGGGGGATCCACGGGGTGTCTGATGAGTGAGGCAGGGGGTGGGAGAGAGAGAAACGGCAGGTGTGGGGGATAATCAGGAGCAGAGGCCTTAAGTCCTGGAGAACAGCGCAGGGGTCCATATGGGGGTGCTGGTCACACCTCTCTGGAGTCCTCTTCGACTTGTGCCGCTGCCGATCCGAGGGGCCCTGGGCCAGCTGCTTCATCTCTCTCAGCCTCTGTTTTCCCACCTGTAAAATGGGGACCCTACCTGTAAAACGTTTATGCAGAGGTGAAATCTGGGCGGGGTGGATGTTTATTGCTCTCCTTCCGGGCTCCTAAAGCTAGGGCCGGACGGAAGACTTCTCGTGCCCCCGTCCCACTCAGCCCTCTGTCTGCCCCGCAGCTCAGAGCCCGACCGTGGCCGAGACCCTCCATCCCGCCTTCTCCGGAGTCCAGCAGTACACAGGTACGCGGGCAGTCGGGCCGGGGCTGGTCGCGGGCGGGGCCCCGCCCCCTCGGCTCCGGCGGCCTCCCTAGGCCAGCCCCGCCCCTAGCCCCGCCCCTAGCCCCGCCCGGTCGTGGCCCCGCCCCCTGCAGCATCTGGTCCCGCCCCGTTTCTGCCAGGGCCCCGCCCTCAGTCAGGCCCCGCCCCTCGAGCTCTGGCCCCGCCCACTCCGGCGGGCACTCCTGTCGTTGGCCCCTCTTTCAGCCCCGCCCCCGGCCGCGGCCCCGCCCCCTCCCGTGGGCACGCCCTCCGCCGCGGCAGCCCCGCCCCCCGCCCCGGGGCGTCCGCCGGCCTCACGCCCGCCTCCGCCGTGTCTCGCTCCCGGTCTCCGCAGCCATGTACCCCACCGCGGCCATCACGCCCATCGCGCACAGCGTCCCCCAGCCGCCGCCCCTCCTGCAGCAGCAGCAGCGAGAAGGTGAGGGGGCCGCGACCTCCCCTGGGCGCCAGCCCCGCCCTCTGACCGCCCCCCTCCGCCTCCAGGACCCCCCTCCCCCCCAGCCCGGCCTGGCCGGGAGCGCGACCTCGGAGAACCGCGGCCTGGAGCGCCGCCTGCTGGCCGGACAGACCTGGGTTCGAGTTCTGGGGCTTCTGGGGGAGCTGAGCCCCGGAGAGCAGAGCGGGAGCCCTAGGAGAGCGGGGACCCCACCACCGCCAGCCGCCCTCTGCAGGACCGGCTGATTCCCTGGGTTTTTGGAAAGGACGCTCGTTTTGAGGTCGGGAGGTGGAGGGGCCATGAGATGTCTCGGGTAAACTGAGGCCTCCCCAGCAAAGTGGAAGGAGGGAGGGGTTAAGATTCTGGAATCAGACAACTCGAGTCCAGGTCCACCCAGTTCTGACTGTAAGGAAGGCACTTCACTGCCCTGTGCCTCAGTTTTCTCCTCTGCGACAGGAGCGACCATCTGTGCCAAGAGGTGTCCCTGGGAAGGAAGCAGGGCCGTGGGACCCGTGGTGCGGCTCAGCACCCAGCAAGGCCCCTTCCCTTGCCGGTCCAGCCAGTGGGGGCGGGGGAGAGGTGACCCACTAGAGAAGCCCCAGATCACCCCATGGCCAGGGGAGCTCCGCAGATGGCCTGGCACCAAGACCAAGTCCTTGGGGCCCCATTTCTCCCTTGCCCTTGGCCTGTGGAAGCGGGGGGACACTGCCAGGGTGCAGGAGCTGAGCTTTGGAGGCGAGCCCTAGGCTGAGGGGTCCCCAGCCCTGCCAACCAGATGCTACCCCGTTCCCCGTCAGATTTTACCGTCTCCAGGATGCTCTGTGGTTAAAGTCACAGACAGCGGACGTAAGGATTCGGCAGTGCCAGCCGCTCCAATGTGACTTTTGGTGACCTCCCAACACCCCCTGTACCTCCCACCCAGGGCCGGCCAGTGGGAGCTTCAGAGAGGGCCCAGCCGCCTCGGGTCACTCGGACCTGGGTGTCTCCCTTCCCGGTCCCTTCTCCAGCTTCCCCCAACCTGGGCTGGGGACGGACGTTATAGCACTGCTGTAACTCGAGACGTGCGTTCTGGGGAGTTCTGGAGAGTCACCACGGCATGCAGAACCGCGAAGTACCAAGACTCCTGCTTGCATGGGGTCAGGATGCACCATTCCAAACCTTTGTCCGTGACACGTCAGAGCAAAACAAAACGAAAGACAGAACCCTAATAGAAACGGTAGCACAATGTCACGCATGTGAGCAGGTCCAAAAAAACCCACAATGACCTGACCCTTTATCCTGGAAGAGGGCTCAGGTCTGCGCGTGGAGGTGGCACTGATGGAAAGGGTTGCAGCTGTGGGTGCAGTGAAGAGGCTTGTCTGAAGTCAGACGGGGAGTCGTGACCCCAGACGGGGATGCGTGTGGCTCACAACACACTTGGGGAGCTGAGGGAGTGGCAGGTGTTCCAGCCGTGTGTGTGTGTGTGTGTGTGTGTGTGTGTGTGTGTGTGTGTGTCTGTGGGCGCGTGTGTGCATACTTTGTTATCTCAAGAGGTCCGATTCAGCTGGGTGCGGCTTTCTGTGTTCACCCCGAGTTTCATGGAGGTGAGAGAGCACACAAGCAAGCGTAAAATCTGTGTCGAGGTCAGAATTGTGCCGTCCGCATCAATCGCAGTGATGACGTTGGAACACACTTGTGTTTTAAAAACGAGCGTTTTTAGAACTGTGGCCCTAATCGGGAAGGTAAGGGTTGGACGTCAATGTGTAGTCTTGGACTTTATATTTCTGGGGTGGAGCGTACCCATTTCCAGGCCAAAGGGGGTTCTTGGTGGTGGGGTTCCCCATGTTTTGTGGGGCCATGGGAGAAGGTCATCCCTTGGTTTGGGATTAGGGGCAGGTTTGGAGACTGTTCATGGCTTCGGATGGTGGAGGTTTTTAAATTGGATTATTATTTATAGCATTTACATGAGTCAGGCATTGGGGATTATTTGGGGAGGGGATGGTTTTAAGAGTTTGCTGTGCTTTTAAAAATTATTTCTAGTTGCCATAGTATATCATTTAAAAATTATCAGGTGGGGGGGGCAGGTTACCTGGCTGGCTCTGTGGGTAGAGGACACGATTCGACCTCAGTGTTGTGAGTTTGAGCCCCACGCTGGGCATGGAACCTCCTTAAAAATAATTTTATTTATTTTTATTTTTAAAATTTTTTAATATATTTTTATCTCCTTAAAAATAAGATAAAATTACCAGGTGATTTGGGGGCTAGAGAGTTTTCTTCTTATCTTACTTGATTTTATTTTTGTGTCGTCTGACTTTTGAAAGTTATTCAGGGTTTGGAGGATCATCCACAGTTTTGAAAAATATCTGGAATTCTGAGGCTTGGGACCAGGGAGTTACTTGCTTCATTTTATTCTGTGATCGTTGGACTTATAAAGCATGGGCAGTTTATTTTATTTTATTTTTTAAAGATTTTATTTATTTATTCATGAGAGACAGAGAGAGAGAGAGAGAGAGGCAGAGACACAGGCAGAGGGAGAAGCAGGCTCCATGCTGGGAGCCCGATGCGGGACTCGATCCCGGGTCTCCAGGATCACGCCCTGGGCTGGAGGCAGGCGCCAAACCGCTGCGCCACCCAGGGATCCCCTAAAACCTGTTTTAGATTCACAGAATTAGTGCAAAGATAGTGCAGAGGGGCCGTCGTATACACCACATACAATTTGTCTGATGCTGTAAACGATCTGGAGTTTCAGGTTTAGGTTTTATTACATTTATTCATGAGAGACACAGAGAGGCAGAGACAGAGGCAGAGGGAGAAGCAGGCTCCTCATGGGGGGCCTGATGGGGGACTCGATCCCAGGACCCCGGGGTCACAACCTGATCCAAAGGCAGACGCTCAACCACTGAGCCAGCCAGGCGTCCCAGGTTTGGGGACTTTTCAGGGGTTTCCGGTTGGCTGGGATTTGGGGATTATCCAGGGTCTGGCATTGAGGGTTTATCTCAGTTTTGGGGGTGTGGGAAGGACTGCCTGAATTGTGTGAATTATCTAGGGCCTGAGGATCCCGAGAGGTTCAGGGTCCCCAGGTGTGGGATTAGGCAGGCGAGGACCCCCTCCCTGCCGTCTCCACGCACCCCTGCTTCCCTGGTCCCCCCACCAGCTGCAGATGCCAGATGTGGGCTCCGGTCCCGCGCCCCTCCCCCGGGGGGTCCGCCTCCTCTCCTTGGGGGCTTTATGTCTTTCTCTCCCCCACCTGCAGGTCCCGAAGGCTGTAACCTGTTTATCTACCACCTCCCCCAGGAGTTTGGAGACACGGAGCTGACGCAGATGTTCCTGCCGTTCGGCAATATCATCTCATCCAAGGTGTTTATGGATCGGGCCACCAACCAGAGCAAATGTTTTGGTGAGTACCTGCTCCGGGCACCCCGTCCTGTCCCGCTGGCCAGTCCCGTCCCCGACTCCGCCTGCCGAGGAACAGGGGCGCGGGCGGGCGTGGTCCAAAAGAATCCCCATTTATAAACGAGAACAAGCACTTAGTAGGCGCCTGCTGTGTGTGCCAGCCAGTGCTGGGTGCTGGTACACAGCAGTGAAGGGAGCCAACGAAATCCCTGCCCTCCGGAACTCAGGGCCCCGCTGTACTGGCCACTGGGGTTTGTCCACGGTGGAGATGTTCTGCATCTCTGCCGTCCGAGCCATCAGCCGCCGCTGGCCGCCCGGCGCCTGAAGCGTGGCACCCCACCCACAGAACCCAAGCTGTGGTTTTAACGAATCCAAATCTCAATAAGCACCTGTGGCCAGCGACTACGGAGTGGGAAAGCCCAGGTTTACGGGCAGCAGATGGAAATACACAAAGCAGGACGTAGGCCAGGGGGCTGGAGGTGGCGTGACAAACGCCATCATCATCTACTCCTAAAGGCATAGAAGCTGGCACACAGGAGGCAATGTTTCGGCTGAGCCCCAAATGGTGAGATTTCCCAGCCATAGGACGTCGGGGGTATGGCGTTCCAGGCAGAGGGAGCAGCACATGCAAAGGCCCTGGGGCATGACCTGTCTGGCAGGTTGGAGGGCCAGCCAGGGGCCCCATGTGGGTGGCTGGAGCAGAGTGAGAGAGGGGGGAGGGGAGGGGAGGGAGGGGACAGGGCAGGTCCTGTAGGGGCTCGGGGGGTCTCCAAGTTCACACAGCAGCAAGAGGCAAATGTACTTTTTTTTTAAGATTTTTTTTAATTTACTCACGAGAGACACAAAGAGATGCAGAGACACAGGCAGAGGGAGAAGCAGGCTCCCTGCGGGGAGCCCGAGGCAGGACTCAATCCCAGGACCCTGGGGTCACGCCCTGAGCCGAAGGTAGACGCTCCACCGTCCCCAAAACATAGATTAGAGCCAGTCTGTGTGACTCTAAAGTCTGGACTCTTAATCCCACCCTGTCTTACTCAAAAGGCCAACCGTTTCCTATCTAGTAGGCACCTCCTGTATATGTTCAGTATCCCCATGAAGTAGAAGAATTGCACCTATTTATTGAGGGACGAGGGAGAGGCTCAGGATGGCCACACAGCACAGCTGAGGCCACCCAGTAGGGGTGCTCGTCCAGTGCCCAGGCCCCTCCTCAGCGTCCTGCTTGCGGGAGGAAGCAGGAAATGTGTGCCATGGGGAGTCCTGTGCCTTCTCAGTCTCCCCGTCAGTATAGTGGGGTGGGTGGGGCAGGTGTTAGGGGACATGACAGATACGAAGAGGTCACCCCCTAGCCGGCTCCACGTTCCCTCATGGCTCCCCGTGGGCCTCCGCTCACCCCTGTCCCCACCTCCTCTCCACTTGGCCCCCCACCTGGCCTCTCGCACAGAGCTCAGGGACCCCCGCCTCAAATGCTTGTGCATGCGGTCCCTCGGCCCAGAGGTGGCCCCCACACCGTCCCGGGAAGCGGGGCAGGAGTGGGGCAGGTGGCCTGGGGTGGCAGGTGAAAGGAGCTGGGGCTGCTGGACACTGCAGGGGTGGCAGGCTGGGATGTTTCTCATGGCCTTGAGGGGCACGGGGGGAGATGGGGTGGAGAGACAGAGTTGGAGAGACGAAAGGCAGAGGACAAGAAGGGTAGAAGGCGCACAGGACACTCAGAGTCCAATGCACAGTCAAGATCCCAGAAGGATAGCGGCCTCAGAGGGGCTGGGGGTTAGCACCCAGGGCCCTGAAGGAGGTGGGCATCCAGGATGGGGAGGGAGGAAGGGAGAATGTGACCCTCCCGGGACCCCCAGACCTCCCCTGCACCCTCTGCAGCGGGGGAAGCCGCAGCAGAGCAGACCCCAGGTAAGAAGCAAGCACCCTGTCCCCAGAGGCATGCAAGTCCAGAGGGTGTCAGAACCAGCCCCGGGCTGCCGTGTGTGCTCTGGTGCCCCCTCCCACCTCGCCGGGCCCATCTGCCCCTGCCAGCGCACACCCCCCGCCCCCAGGACCCCGCGAGCCGGGAAGCCGGGGCTGCAGCACTGGAGCAGAGGACGCCCACGTTGCCCACCATCGCGGGTCCACCCCGGTCTCCGCAGGCTTCGTGAGCTTTGACAACCCGGCCAGCGCGCAGACCGCCATCCAGGCCATGAACGGCTTTCAGATCGGCATGAAGAGGCTCAAAGTGCAGCTGAAGCGGCCCAAAGACCCGGGACACCCCTACTGACCGCGCCCACAGCCGCCCGGAGGCTGCGGGCCTGGCCCAGGTGAGCCGCCAGGCGGCCCCACCCACACCCACCCACCCCCACCCCGTCTTGGCCAAACACCCCCTCATTCTCCAAACCCTCCCCAGCCCCCCGGGGGATGCTGCCGGAGACCACAAGGAGCAGGAGCCCCCAGTTGGGTCGGTGGGGACATAGTCACCCCCATCCCCCCTTTGGCCGGGGCTGGGACAGAGGGTGGAATTGGGGTCTGGGGGTGGTTGGGGGATCCTTCCAGAAGAAGGCTTTGAGGGATGAATAGGAGTTCACCCGAGAGGCCAGGTTTGGTCTGGGGTGGGGCGGGCCGTGGGGAGGGGCTTGTGTCCTGTCCTAGGAATCGGGCAGCAGGGCCCCCGTCCATAGCCCCTCGTTTGGTGTAATCGTGCTCAGTGGACTGGTGAGAAAGCGGAATGTTTGCCCTGCTCACCAGCATGCCCCCCAAAGATACCCCCCAAACAGATCCCCAAGAGTGTATTTTGCCCTCAGAGAGAACACCTTTATCAACAACCAAACACCTTCCTTGGGGAACGAACAGAGAGCCTAAGGGGCCAGTGGGGAAACGTAACTGGCCGCAGGCCTCGGTGAGCCTCATCTGTGCATTGGGTTCGTGAAAGTCGCCTCCCGAGAGGCAGCAGGGAGCATCCGCTTGGGGATGCCGCGTTTTCCCAGCCGAGCCCAGGACCCGCCACCTGGAAGGCTCTTGATCATTTGTTTCGATTCTCTTTTTTTCCACCGCGAGCGCCGTCGTCATCAAAGCGCCGCGCCTGGGGTCTGGCGCGAAGTAGGTGCTCAGTTAGGGGCTGCGCGTGCTTTTCAGACCCCGGCGAACCAGCACCCACAGATCCGAGGGTATTCAGTCACGGGATCAGGCACCCAAGAGACGCCCCATGCTCCTGAGCACTCTGGGACTGCACATCCTTGCTGAGCACCTACTATGCGCTGGGCTCGGTTTTCCAGCGCTCGGGGTCACAGCTGTGAATGACCAGAAGCGGGGTTGGGGTTGGGGGAGGGCTGCCTCTGCGGAGCTTCAGTGCCCGGGAGCGGGGAAGGGGACACGAGAAGAACCCCAGCTCTTGCCCCACACCCCCCCACACCCCCACCCTGGGTTTGCAGGAGGAAAGGGGCTCTGAGACCCAAAGTCCCCTCCAAGGCGGTTTGTTGGCCTCCGAATCTGAAAATGGACTCTCTCTCTCTGACAAGATAGGGCCCCCCCGGGTTCCCAGAACCCAGCCTGGCCAGGGCAGCGGGGTGGGTGGGGGGCACTGCCGTAGGCCTGCGTGCCCCCCATCACTGCGCCCTAACGCCCCTCCCTTCTCCGCCAGGTGAGGGGGCCTCCCCACCCCAGGAGGGCTTCCCGCTTCCAACCGATCCCGGACTTTCCCGTAAATTACAACCGAGTTTGGACACCAGCCCTCCCTCTCCTGTCCCACCTCCCCTTGCCCCCCACCCCCTAATGTGAATGGGCAGGGGGGTGTCGTGGTCCGCCCCAGCGCTGGAAGGGGGGCGGGCTCCTGAGTCGGAGGCCAAGGGCTTCACCGCCCCCTCCTTGGTGGCTTCCCCCAAACTAAATCTCAACGTTTCCTATATATATATATGCATATATATATAGAGCTATAGACAGTATATATATTTTTTGAGTGTAGATCATGGGACCAAACTTTTCCGACTTCCTTCCGTCCAAGAGAAGGTGACCCTGGCCCGGTCACTCAGCAGGGACATAAGAAGGGCTGAGGATGACCGGGCAGCCCAGTGTCTCCCCATCTCCCGCTGTCATGTCAGACCAGGGCACCGAAAAGCACTGGGAATCATCAGCCAACGCGATATACCTCCAGGACTTTGGGCCCCTGCCGTCGACGGTTCTCGCAGGCCTCAGCGAGCTCGAGTGTCCCTGGTCTTAGCAGCAGCTCCCGGAACCCCCAACCCCTCCCACGCCCCAGGGCCCTGCCTTCCCCAACGATGTAGGCACAAGAGAGACCCCCGCCCCGGCCTCCCCCCATCATAGCCTTACTCATGTGACCAATAGCCCTTAGCTTTCCGTCAGGGGCAGACAGGGTCGGGGGAGCCCCCCCCCAACCCCTCGTGCCCCCTCCCAAGGGCAGGCAGCCACCCTCCCTGCCTTCGGATCACCAGCCTGGAGTTCACGATCTCATGACCAAGATTGCCAAGCGCGTTGGACGAGCCCAACCTGCACAGCACCCCTTTACCAGAGATACCTCTACAAATGATTTTTTTTTTCTTAATTTTGGTCTTTCTGAGCAGATACAAAGAAGAAAAGAGAAAAAAAATGGGGAAAAAAATCAGACGACAGTGGATTTTTGTTTCCTAGTTGGGGCGGGGAGGGAGGTCTTGCGGGGCGTCTCTGTATAGCTACTCAAACCGTGAAAACCCACCTTGAAGCACAGAGTCAAGTTCGTGGACGTCATTGGGGCCTCTTGCCAAGTGAGGCGCCAGAGAAATTAATAAGCTCAAGAAAAGAAAAAAAAATTTGTAAAGAAAAAAAAAAAACAGCATTCCCTTTTGTTTCTACCAAAATGTGTTGACTGACCTAGAAAAAAAAAAAAAAAAAAACACATAGCAAAAAAAAAAAAAAAAAAAAAGGAAAAGAAAAAAAAAATCTTATGACCAACTTGTTTCGATATTCCAGAGTTTGATAATTGTTCCGAGACACTCTAGCGTGCCTGTGTCCCGTGCGTCTGCGTGTGCAAGCACGTGCCCAGGGGCCCCGAGGGGGCCTCGTCCGCGTCCCCGGCACCTGCCAAGCCCCCGCCGGGCCTGCTTGGGAGTGCGTGCTGGCGTGCAGTGGCGTGTGTCCTTCTGGTCCATGTTTACTGGCTGTAAATACCATTTTTATACTCCACATCGAAGACCTACGTGATTTGTACGATGTACTTTATTTCTGCTACGAGTAATTTCATGAAGTTTCAACTTGCAAACCGACTTTTGGAGACAAACCGCCACACACACACACACACACACACACACACACACACCTCTACACATAACACACAAACACACACAGAAAAGGAAGACAAGAAAGGGACTTCGAGGGAACTTTGGGTTGGCGTGGTTTGGATTTCTGGCTGGAGAGGTCCTTGTCACTGTGGCGTGTTCAGGTGAGAAGCTGCGAGCATCATCTTAATGTCCAAACGCCTCTCTTTGGTCTGGAGAAACTGAAAGTTTATTTAATAAAAGTTTTACTTGCTAAAGGACCGGGTCCTCTCTTATTTGCCCTCTCTCGTCGATGAAAGACCCAGCGTCGCAGAACATCCCCGCGACCGGGCTTCTGGCTGACGCGTGCGGAAGTTGCCCAGATGGGACCGTTTCTTCTGCAGAAGAGCAGGTGGCTGTGCCGGTGGAGCCACACGCGTCCACAATGCAGACGCCGGCCGTGCGCCCGCCCCCGTGCTGGCCGCCGTGACCGGGGGGCTCCAACGTGCGTCTCCTCTAAATCGAGGTCAAATTCACGTAACGTAAAATTCTCCATTTTTTGCCATTTTAAAGTGTACGATCCAGTGGCATTAGGTAGGTTCACAAGGTTGTGCCTAATTCCAGGACATTCTTACCCGCGAAAGCAGCCCCGTCCCCATGAACACTCACCCCTTCTTCCCCCACCCCGCCCAGTCCCCTCCCTGTCCGTGGACCAGCCTGTCCTGCATGTGTCACACACGTGGACTCACCCCACGGGGCCTCCTGTGTCTGCTTCCCTCCCTGAGCGTCGGGAGCTCGGGGTCCGACCCCGGGGTGGCGTGTGGGCACCTCACTCCTGTCCGCAGCTGAGGGACGTGCCCTTGGGAGCACGGACCACGTTTTGTGCATTCGTTCATCTATCTGCGGACACTTTGGGTGTCACCTCCTTTCGGCCGTTGCACGTGGTGCCACTCTAGATATTCGGGTGTGTGTGTGTGAACACCTGCCTGGGTTCCTGGGTGCAGGGAGTGGGGCCGCGGGGCCGCCGGGTGGGGTGCCGTGAGCTCTTGGAGGGGCACCCACCTGGTGACCGGAGACAGAGATGCGCCGTCAGACCTGAAACAGCTGAGGACTCAGCAGTGTCTCAAAGAGGTGAGGCCCAGAGGAGGTGACCCTGGGGAGGTGACAGAGCTGTGGCTGAAGGAGAACCAAAACGAAACTGCATGCCGCTCCTGGCCGTGCTCCTGGGAGGCCTAGAAGTCCCTAAAAAAAATAAATAATTGAGACCTGGGGTTAGAGACACCGGCTCGGGGCAGGGTCTGGCTGGGCAGGGGTGCGAATAGTGGGGACGGCCACAGCCACACTCATACTGACCACTCATCAGTGAGCCACTTAACACCCCGCCAGCCACTTGCCACTAGCCACGTCTTTCCATCTTATCAATGACTCATCCCATTTTCTGGTTCAGGAAACTGAGGCCCAGAAATGGCAAGCGCCTTGCTCCAGCACAGGAGGGGCCAGTTAGGGAGGGGCCAGTCAGACAGGGCGGGGCCAGTTAGGGAGGAGGCTGGGAAGCTGAGTCCGCCTGGCAGGGTTTGTGGGTGGAAGGAACAGCCTGGGCAAAGGCTCAGAGGCTGAGATGTTGTGGAGGTTGCACGGTCGGCTCAGACGCAGCACTGGTGGCAGAAGCAGCTGCGGAGGCGGCGGGGCCTCAGCTACACGGGCCCCTCGTGATTCAGCAGCTGCCAGGTGCCGGGCCTTGTCCCCACGCTCCCACGGCGCCGGTCAAGGGGGAAGATGGCAAACAAAAACCCAAAAAACCCAGAAGTGCCCATCCCGGCAAGAAAGAGTAACTGCAGAGTGTGCTAAGAGTTGTAACCACAGCGACACGAACAAATCTGGGCTATTATCTCGAGGGCAGTGAGGCGCCCCAGCAGGGCTTTTTTTTTTTTTTTTTAAAGATTTTTATTTATTTATTCATGAGAGACACAGAGAGAGAGAGGCAGAGGCAGAGACACAGGCAGAGGGAGAAGCAGGCTCCACGCAGGGAGCCCGACACGGGACTCGATCTCAGGTCTCCAGGATCAGGCCCTGGACTGAAGGTGACGCTAAACCACTGAGCCACCCGGGCTGCCCTCCCAGGGCTTTGAGCGGGGATCCGACTGGTGAATGAGAAGGACACGGGGGGGGGGGGGGACATCCTGCTGCTGGGAAGTAACTCAACGCTCTGGATGATAACGTGGCGGGATGGCGGCACGGTAGTTCCACCAAGCATTTATTAAGCACTTACTATTTGCCAAGCATTGTTTCAAGCCTGAGTCACACACGATAGTAGCCGCTCATCACGCACGGCTATTTAAAAGTTAAATCGATTTACCAAAATTATAAATTCACTTCCTTGGCCAAACCAAGCTGCGTTTCAAGGACTCAGCAGCTCTATGTCCATCGCCGCACAGCGTTCCCGCGGACAGCCCTGGGCCGAGCGTCTGTACGATGTCACTCACGTAACCTGCCACCACCCTGTGAGGTATGTCCTGATGACAGCCCCATTCTAGGAGTGAGTAAACTGAGGCCCAGAGACAGCAAGTGCCTGCCTGAGGCAGCCCAGCAGGAAGGGGATCCCGGCCCTCTGGCTGGCCTCTTAACCACCGTGCCAGTGCCATAGTGGCTAAAATGCAAATGTATTAGATTGTCATTCGAGTTATTTATAAGACTCCAACAGAAGCTTTTAACTGTAACTCAAAGTTGCCAAACGTTTGAAACGTGCATCCTCACAATACAGCAGTTCGGGCGTGTGCTTGAGACACCGAGGCCTGCTGTGATGTCGGGGTCCACCCAGTGGGAGGGGCTCAGTGAGGTCCAGGGTGTATCAGTTAGCGATCACCGCCTGACAACCACACCCCCTCCCGGCAGTGTAGGAGCTCAAAACAACACGAATTTATTTTCTGATGGTTCCTGTGGTCAGGAATCTCGGAGCTGACTTAGCTGGGTGGTCCTGGCGCAGGGGTCTCTCCCGTCAGCACAGAGGCCAGCACATAGGAAGGCTGGACGGGGGCGAGAGGAGCCGGTCATGCTGGTGCCCTTGCAGGGCTGCTGGCGGGAGGGAGGCCTCAGCTCCTTACTGCGTCGGCCTCTCTGTGGGGCTGCTCATGACCTGGCAGCCGGCTTCCCTGTGACCCAAAAGAGGAGCGGGGGAGGGACGGAGAGAGTGGATGCTGCCTTTTATGGTCTGTGTCCAGGTCACACATCACCACCCGCACCTCGTCCATGTGGCTGTCAGAGGACACAACCCTCTCCAGGCCACGTCATCTGATGAAAACGAGAGAGTTGCAGGGAATCCCGTGCGTGTACGTAAAGCATGCATTCTGTCCAGGGACGTGTGTGTGATCGCAAGGGTGTTATGATCACACACGCTGGAGGTGTGTTCACCAGGATGGGGAAGCAGGTGGCTTTGGGGAGTGGGGAACGGAGGGTCTAGAGGAAGCACAGTGGAGCCTCCCCTGCAATCTTTACAAGGTGGGTATATTCATTGCTTAGGAAATTAAGAATTCATCTTAAATACATTTTGTGAAGATGCAAGAATGGAAAAGGCAGGGATGGGAGGCACTTTGGGAAGAGCGCCGGCATCTCCCACGACTGCCCCACCGCCCTGTGGAGAGGCCCGTGTGGCAAAGGCCAGCTGTCAGAGAGGGACGGAGTCCTGCCAGCAGCCACACAAGTTTGGAAGTGGGTCTTTCCCCCATCGAGCCTTCAGATGAGAACCCTCCCTGGCCATGCCCTTGAGCACAGCCCATCGCAGGCCGGGAAGCAGACGAGAGAACCCAGCTGAGCACCCTCAGGCTCCCGAGCCTCGGAAACTCAGACAATGAACGGTTTAGGCCACTAAGGTCAAGACTCCCAATCTTGAAGAGAACTTCGGCACAGTTCAGATCGCCAGGATAGAACTGGACCAACCGATCCTCACAGTCATGCAGGTAACTGAATTGCAAGGGAAGCCGGGCCGGAATGCGCCAAAACGAATGTCTGGTTACTGTGCGCATACGACGTGCCTGACACGCTGGGCTCGGTTCCCTAAATCAGCCTGCGGGTTTTATCTACTTCCCTATTGCCGGGGCCTGGCTCGGAGCAGCTGTTTGCTGAGCGTCCTAAAAGCATAGTCCTGAAGTCTGGAGGCCTTGCGCCCAGGGTTGGAATCGCAGTCATGACACTGTCAGAACGGTGGCCTATCCCTCGGCTCAGACCTCTCAGTGTCCCCTCTCTGCAGAGTAGGCTCACCGGGCACCCCGTTTTGAGGGTTCTTGTAGGAACCAACGCGTTAAAATATTTAGAAAGCGCGAAGGAGTGAGCGGGCTACACAAGCGCCAAAATAAATCAATCCCCTTTCCAACTTTCCAAAGACTTCCTCCCAGGACACCAGCAGGGGGCAGCAGAGACCAGTATTGGCGTCACCATTTTGAAAGGCCACGAGCATTTATTGAGCACCCACTGTGTGCCACGCACTGCTCTGGAGCCTGCGGGAGGTGGCAAGGGGACCCGGGGGTTCTCTGCGGGGACACTAAAGGAATACCTTGTCCAAATGTCTCAGCCCGTGCCTTAAGGCGGGTGGGGTCAGCCCCATCCCCTGCACGGCTGCCAGGCCTTGGCTCTCCTTCCCACTCCGGATGCTGAGATGCTCGGCTGGGACGCAGGCACACGTAACTCCTGAGCAGAGGGGACAGCACTGACCACGGTGGAGGGGAAGGGGTCAACCGGGCCCCAGTGGCGGAGCAGGGGACGCCAGCGGGGTGCGTGGTGGTCAAACCGAGGGTAAGGTGGGGCGCCCCCCCCCCCCGCCCCGCCCCAGGATGCGGACTGCATGCTCACGTCTGAGTTCTCAGGACCTGCTGGGTAGAGTCGCGGTCGGCCCGCCCTGGGGCAGCCTCTTTCTCTGTCCAAACCTCAGTTTCCTCATCTGTAAAATGGGACTCGCGACAGCATGCCCCGTCCAGGACTGCGGAGCTCTCATCAGGGAGATTAATTAATGCACCTAAGTTGCGACAGCCGGCGTCATTTTAATGCAGTCCGATGAGGCAAAACAGAACCTGCTCCCAAGTGGGAGCAGTGAACCCTCAGACATCACTCCTAGTGGGTCCGGGCGTCGGCAGCATCTATCGAGCACCTGCTGTGTGCACCCCGGCAGGTCCCACCAGACGGGAAAGCCCAAAGCTCCCAGAGGGCGCGTGCAGTACGGCGCCCCGCCCCCGGCCCCGCCTTCTCCCCGCCCCCTCTCTGTCCCGAGC